CGACGACGACAATAACGACAACGACAACGACGACGATGACGAGGACAAAAAAATTTTTAAAAACGTCGATTTTTTTAACACGTGCCACGACAAAAAAAGAAAAATACATACATATGTGCATTTCTAGGCGTGAAGAAATCCTATGACGTCATTCATTCATTCATCTTTTTCTTTTCTACTTAAGGTAAGTATAAGAATTTTTTTTTTTACTTAAAGTAAGTGTAAAAATTTTTTTTTATTATTTTTCAGCCATTATTTTTCATAAATTATTTATTTATTCATTTATTTCGTCATTAATTCGACAATTGAGTTTAAAATCATCATCATCATCATTATTATTATTATTAAAATATTATATATTAATTACCGCGTAGACCGTAAATTCCGCGTTAATTTTTACCATATCGTGGTTAAAATATAACAATAATTAATTACGTATGCGATTAATAATAATAATAATGATGATGATATAGAGGAAACGTTTATTACAATAATAATAATAATTTTTAATAAATATTTAATTAAAAAAAAAATGAGAATTGAGTAGAGAGGGAGAGAAAGAGAGAGGAAAAGGGGGAAAAATTAAAATTATATTTTTGAGATTTAATTTATAAATTCGAACGTTAGAGAACATTTATTATTATTATTATTTAAATATATTATTATTATTATTATTAAATGGTAATAAATAATATTTAACGTAATATATGTACGTAGTGAAAGTTTAACGAGAAGGGAAAGGTGGGGGGGGGGTAATGGAAAATATATTTGTATTATCAATCGTTGTGTAAGAGTTGAAAGAGTGAGAGAGTGAGAGAGAGGATGGATGTAGATGGATGGATGGATGGAATTTAATATTTTTTTTTTTCCGGGGGGGGGGAAGGAAAATTTGATGAAATAGAAAACCGGAAGAAAACCTATTTAACTCCCCAATTTAATTTAAAATCTCCATTCGAAATTTAATTCAATATTTTTAAGTCGAGATTTTTACAATTAAAATTCAGATGAATTTTTCTTTTTAATCTTTTCTTTTCTCTCTCTCTCTCTCTCTCTCACACGTTTTAATTCAATATACTTCATTTTATTTATATATTTTCTATTGCCACGTCTTTTTTTTTTAAATATCGTTCGATTTTTTTTTTTTTTTGCCAATGTGACTACTATTTCTTAAAGTTTTTTTTTCTCTCTACATTTGATTGATCGTTTTTTTTTTTGGGAGGTTGGAATCGGGTGGATTAGGGTTGGAAAAATCGAGGGTAGACGAGGGAGGGGCGGGGCGGAAGGAAGTAAAAAAGAACCGATTTCAATTTTTGGTCGAAAGTGATTTTTTTTTTCTTTTTTCAATTGATTGATATCAATTTCATATTTTTTTTTTTGTGGTAAAACCTTTAACCGGTCGCAAATCGAAATACAATATGGCAGCGACTTTTTTAACAAATGTAAAACCTTTTAGGACCTTTTCCCCTCCCTTCCGACCAAAAAAATTTAATAATAATAATAATAATTTTTCTTTTTTCGCATAATTAGAATAATTACGTAAGGAAAGAAAAAACCGAAAACACTTTAATAATTGTTTTAGTTTACTCTTCAAGAGTTATTATTTAACTTTTTAAATGAGTTTTCATAAGGTAAATTTTTCTTCTGCTTTTTTTTCTTTTTGTTTAAAGTTTGTAAAGAATTAATCCATCCGTCACCATTAAATCAATTTAAGTTCAGCTTTCAACTTTTTTTTTTTTGCAATAAAGAAAAAAATTAAAAAGTTTTTTTTTTTTTTTAAATTGCGTTTTCAACCTTTTTTCTTTCCTTTTTTTTTTTTTTTATTTAATTTTAAATTATTTAAATAATAATAATAATTGTTATAAAAAAAAAAAAAAAAAAAAAGTTGAAAGGTTTAAATGTTACTTTTTTTTACATATAATTTTAAAATATATGACATAATAAAAATTTTACTTTTTTTTTTTTTTTATATAAATTTCATTTAAAAAAGTTAAAAAATTTTCTTTCTGCGGAAAGTTTTCGAAACGTTTTTTTTATATCAGCTTTTTCTCTCCCCTCTCCCTCCCATCATCATTATTATTAAAAATCTAGGGGAAGGAAAGAAGGTTAATCGCAAAAAAAAAAAAAAAAAAATCATAAATTAATAATAATAACAAGATCGATTTGAGTGACGTATTAAAAGTTTTTTTTTTTTTTAATGCGAAAAATCATAATCTACTGCGATGAATCGAATATAAAAAAAGGAAAAGAAAGAAAATGAATAAAATGCATTAAAAAAAGGAAAAAAAAAAAAAGAAAAAGAAAAGAAAAGAAATGAAATGAAATAATAAAAAATGAAAAAAAAAAATAATTAAAAAGTTCTGAAATGAAAAAAATTTTTCAAAGTTGGTAGAGTTTAAAGAAATTTTTTTTTCACAAAAAAAATAAAATCGGTTGGGAAAAAGGGGGAGGAGAGGGAGGGGTTGGGGGAAATTCAAAGTAAACTTAGAAAAATAAATGAAGAAAAAAAAAAGGGAAAAAAATTGTAAAAATCATCATCGTGGGGGAGGAAAAGAAAAACCTTTGATGTGAATTGAACCGTAAAGAACATTAGCCGTAATGAAAAAAAAAAAAAAAACTTAAAACGCACGAGACAATAGTTTTCTTTTCTTTTTTCTCCTCCCTTGATTCCATCCTTGTTTTAAAAGAGAGAGAGAGAGAGAAAACTACCCGCTTCGAGCATACGGTGACGTTTATGCGTGAAAAAAAACAAACACACGACGCTTATTTACGAATTTATTAAATACAATAAAATTTGTTAATTTTAATTTAATAACTTTTTTATGCATGTAATAATAATAATAATAATAATAATAATAATAATAATAATAATAATAATAATAATAATAATAATAATAATAATAATAATACGCACGCACTCACGCAAAACAAAATTTAAAATTAAACGTTAAAAAGCGTTTTTCTTTTTTATAAAAATTTATTAAACGTTTTCGTCGGAATAAATAAATTTTTATTTATTTATACAAAAGGCAAAATGCGTAATAAGTTAAAGTTAATAAAAATATTTAATAATAATGATAATAATAATAATAATGATGATGATGATGATGATGATAATATAAAAAAAAATATGTTTGTATATATTATATATTTTGTCCCTTTTTTTTTTTTAAATTGAACAGGAGGTCGAAACCGCATTTTTTACTTGAAAAATTGTCTGAATGTTGTTTGTAGTTGTTGTTGTTAGCTTTCGTAATAAAAAAATATAAATATACATACCACCAGCTTGGGGTAATTTGATTGTTATTTACGCAGATGGCTACTCTAACCGCAATATATATATATTTATATATTAGGACACGCACGCACACACACACACTTGGACGCACATGTATGTATGCACGAGGAAAAAAAAAATATAAAAATAATTTTCTTTTTTTTTTTTTGTTTTGCTGGGGAGGGGAGAGAGGAGGGTAGGGGAGGGAAGGATGCCGTCGTTTTTATTTTTATTATTCAGTAAGTTAAAAAACCTTTTTTTTTTGTTGTTTGTTGTTAATGCTGCGTTTGTTTTAATTTTTTTTTTATAAATATCCGAATTATTTTTAAAAACTTAAAATGTAAAACTATTTGAGAAAAAAAACAACAACAACAAATTCATCAAAATCCTTAAAAAAAACGTCAAAAAAAAAAGAAAAAAAAAATCTTGATGGATGATCGCGCGTATGTACGCAAATGACCCTTAAAAAGAAAGAAAAAAGAAAAAATGTGTGGGGGGATGTCCGTGGTGTAGGCCGTGGGGTAGGACGCGGGGTGAGAAAAAAGGGTACGTAAAAAAGTTTTTTTTTTATTGCGTCAAA